GGGCCCAGTGGCGATAGACCCAAGCCAAAACTCAGTCTTCTGACCTCTGTTAGCTCCTACCCTAACTAGTGAACCATAATAGCTTGTTAGTTCTCTAGGAACTAGAGTGTCTTGTTATCCCAGCGATGAACTCCCCTTCTCCAGTGCATAGTCACCTTGGTAAATGGTTGCATGTTTCTTTGAGGAAGGCTAGGAAGGAGATTTACAGTATGATCTTCTGGCAGTATGTTAGGGTTTCTGAAGGGGACCCTTTTGATTCAAAGGACACTGGGTCTATGAACTAGCTCAAGTCTGATAATTGATTGTGAGCCAAGACTCTTTTCTGTGTTGATTTAAGTTCTACCTCTGGTAATCGGACATAGAGCTTTTCTTCTTATACACACCAGGTAACATTTTATTTTTTATTAAAAATTTTTTATTAGCTTATTTATTTTGAGAGAGAGAGAGAATCCTAAGCAGGCTCTACACTGTCATTGCAGAGCCTGATGTGGGGCTCGAGCTCATGAATGGTGTGATAAAGACTTGAGCCAAAATCAAGAGTTGGATGTTTAGCCAACTGAGCCACCCTGGTACCCCCAAATCAGATAACATTTAAGTAGAGTGCCTATCTATTTTACTCCTGTGAACACCATGATCAGTTAGCCAACACCTGCGATCTCTGTGGGTAAAGCCATTTGCTTATTCCTTTGATTCCATATGGTAACCATGTCCATTTTGTTTCTGGAATTTAAGTGCTACCACTTGGCCTTTGTCACTCCAGATACCATCATCTTCATTGATTTCAGGGAACCCAGCTTGATGGCTGTTATCCATGGCCTTTCAGCTACACAGAGCTTATCAAGCCATATAGAGCTAGCTCATCATGTACCAATACATTTCTCAAACTTGATAAAGGAGGTGTTTTTTTTACTTTCTTGGAGACATGGTTAGGGGGTGGGTGAGCAAGACTTACATAATAAATATTCTCTGTATGTTAGAAAAGTTGTAAGGCATTTTCCTTAAAAACTCCAGAATGAGTACCTGTGTTTACAAGATAAGGAAGAAGTTTGTTTATGATCTCAGTGAATAAAAAAATTTAATATACAGAATGTAGTCTCAGTTTGAAAAGCATAACTGCCAACAAAATGCTTACATTTAATGCTTTTAGAGTGAAAAAGGAATTTTCTTGGTCATCAATGCATTAAATGTTTAGATTTTCTTAGGTGAAGATCAAACTTAGGTGAAGATTTGAATGTTATTTTCTGTATTTTACTATGTGATTAAAGATCCACATTAAATAACAGGGCTTTCCCTCCCCCAACCCATTCTGAGAATGAACATGACTACTCACGTTCTACATGTATTTATACATATACACACACACACACATATGTATTCTAAAAAATCTCAGTCTTTTGTCTTCTGTTGTCTCTCCATTATTTCTTTTTTTAATTATTTTTTTTTAAATGTTTACTTACTTTTGAGAGAGGGACAGAGTGTGAAAGCAGAGGAGCAGAGAGAAAGACACACACAGAATTCGAAGCAGGCCCCAGGCTATGAGCTGTTAGCACAAAGCTCAGCGCGGGCTCAAACCCATGAACTACGCGATCATGACTGAGACACAGTCAGTTGCTTAACCGACTGAGCCACCCAGGTGCCCCATGTATCTCCATTATTTCTTAATAATTCTCCCCTTTTAGAGTCTTTCAGGGGACTGAGGTAGATAAGAGAATGTCTGAGAAAGTTGAAGAGATAGACTCAATTTAATTTTCTACTGTGGAATTGTAGGTTACTGAAGTAATAACACTAGCCTGAAAAGCAGTAGTGGTTTATTTGGGTTATGTAGAAATATTTAGTTTTTGAGCTTGTCTAAAAGAAAAGATTTATTTATTTTTATTATTTTTATTTTAGAGGGAGAGAGAGTGTGTGAGAGGGGAAGAGAGGCAGAGGGAGAGAGAGAGAATCTCAAGCAGGCTCCACACTTAGTGTGGAGCTTGACATGGGCCTTGTTCCCATGACCCTGGGATCATGACCTGAGCCAAAATCAACACTTGGATACTCAGCTGACTGAACCACCCAGGTGCCCCTGAAAGAAAACATTTAGATAGAGAGCTCGGAACCATTTTTTTCTATCTCCTCTCTTCTATGGACTATTCATTAAAAAAAAAAAAAAGATTTGCCTTTATGTAACAATTTTAGGTTAAGTCTATACCTAACAAACATAGAAATTGGGTGCTAAATATTAGTCTAGCAGCTTCTAATCTACCATGAGATAATGAAAGAAATATATGCCCTTGACAAGAGATTGATTAGCCCCAAAAGGATGGAAAATTTATTCTTCCCAGAGAACCTTCTTTGGTAAGAAGCACTGCCCCTTGAGGTTAGCCTTTTCAGCCACATAATTATACCACAACCCTACTGGAATTGTTAATCAGAGTCAGATTCAGGTAATTTGCCCTGAATCACAAAAGATAATAATGCTCAAGTAGGTGTCTACAAAGCAAAATCATATTATACGTACCAGAAGAGAGGAGTATCACTATAAATAATAAAACATTCACTGGGTAATGACATGGGTACACACACATACATATATTTTTGTATTTAATGTAAGTGTTATAAAGTCTAGTAGTAATAGGAAATGAAATGTGAAAATTCTCAAACAACAAACAAAAACAAAAATCTGCCGAGGAATACCTGGAGTTGAAATGGACTTAGTATTAAAAGTGAGTGAGAGAGACTGAAGCAGGTAACGGTGACATGAGAGACTGGCCAGGTACAGAGATATATACCTATAGACAGCGTTGGGAGGTCTTGAGTTAGCGTTGTGGAAGTACAGAGTGTTCTGACACATTCTGTTCTTCATTTGGACTCTGACCTTTGAAAAGCCATTTATGATCACTTTTCAAATTGTTTTTTATTGCTCTTTATCTATGAGTTTTTAGAACTGCCTTTGATATCTTAGTTTCTTGGGCCATAGTGCAGTGGTTATTATTTGGTTAAATCAAATTAGTCAATAAGGTCCTGGGTCCTAGTGACCCTTTCTTTTTCTTTGTAAGCATTTTGCCATGTTAAGGGACCAGGAACTATTTCCTTTTATAATGGCTGTGGGTAGGACTTAAAGCATACTTTGTACTTCAACTGAACTTTATTGTATAGACATTTTCAAGCAAAGAAACTTTATTTTATGTAGAATATAAAAATATGTATGGGTCAGTAAGGAGAGGGCATTTTGTCCCCTTATCCCTCAACACTCATATTAATCTGGTTTTATTCTTCTGAATTTCTAAGAGGAAGTTTTCTCCCTTAAAAGCCAGCAGATTTCCCGAGTGTCCTTGAATGATTTATTCATGGCCTACTTGTGTAGTAGCAAAAGAAAAGAATTATACATTACAATTTTTTTTTATCTAGTGCAACAGCAATTTTTAAAAAAAATATATTTGGTAAGGCCTTTAATAAAATTTTTAATGAGTTGTCTTTCTAACTCATAGTAATTACAAAGAGTACTGTCTTCTCCATTATCATGGCTCAGAGCAGTGTCTTTTTTTTTTTGCCCAGCTAGGATATGTGTTGCTTCTATATTACTTTTGGTTTTTAAGTTAAATATTCTTTTTCTGTTTAAGAAAATCTAAGGTGTACCCATTCTGAAAATAGTCTTTAAATTATACTTTGGCGAATGTAATACATTTATTGATAACATTTTGTCCAAGATTAAAACACTAAATATCGCCAATATGCTGAGATAAAGTTAGTCTGTCACTAACCACAATTTTTTTCCTTTCTCTCCTCCTTTCTTTCTTCTTTCCTTCCTTCCTTCATGCCTTCCTTCTTTCCTTTATCTTCTTTCCTTTATCATTGCCTTCTTTCCCATATTTCCAAAGTTCAAGCAATTGATTACATGAAGAACGGATAAATGATCTTATGTAATTATTGGTTTACTATCTTTCCTCCTCCTTTTTAGACTGTAAATTCTATGAAGACAGATACTACACCAATCTTTTTTACCTCCATGTGTCTAATGCCTTGGATTAGTACATAGTAGGGATTCCGTGAAGTATTTGAATGAATGAGTCAATGAATAATAAAACATATATTATGAATACTTCTTTTTGAAATCATTCTTGTTGGAAAATAGATTTCCTGTTTATTGAAATGTTTAGATTATAAAATATGTTAGGGAGAAATTATAATAGGAAAAGAAAAATGTTTTTAATAAGAATATTTTAAAATTTGCTACTTGTTGTTTAACAGTAGAAGTACAGTGGACAATCAATTTAAAGTGGTTTTTAAGACTAAACTTTTGATTATTTTGGATTAATCTTTTGAATTACATTTGACCATGTGACCTTGATTAGCTCGACTGACTTATGGCCCAACTAAATTAAAATCATTTGAGGGTATAATATGAAAATACTCATATTTTTACAAAAAGTATCAGTTTTAAGGGTTTTAATTGAAACATGATGTGGGTCTGTGTAGATAATAGCATTTTTATTATTTATTTCAAATCGTAACTTGAGAATTTTAAGGATTGAAGAATATTTCCAAGCATAACAGAAAATGCTGTGCTCTTGGGTTCAGAAATTATTATTTAAGCAAAATAAGCCTGTCTGATTAGAAACACAAAGACCAGAGTAAGTGTATGTAACTCCCCAGACAATGTTAGTGTACAGACTATTCATTTAATTGTTGGATAACAGGTATGTACACTACACATACTTCAGTTATTTAGGAGATGGGGAAAAATAAAAAGAGCTCACTACTAACTATAGTGTGGGCCTTGGTAAGGTACAAAGTAGCCATAAGTCTGAACTTGATATACTATGAACTTAATTTGATCACTTGTTTAGAAAGGCTATTAATACTTGGCTATACAGCAGTATACTTTGGAGAATAAGACTCTCCTCAACGTTTCCTAATACCTTTCAGCTCTATCTAATTGTAATCTCTCTGTTACTGTTTGCTTAGCTTTTGTCTCTTTGTGACTTTGGGATAGATTTTCATCTTACGTTTTTCTCTAGGCATCCACAAGGACAAAGATAAACCTCCCAGCTTCTCTGTTGTCCTTGAGACTTTGAGGCGTACCTTGACAGATTACCAGAACAAGCTGGAAGACGCGTCTAATGAGGTAACACTTGCACTGTTTGGCTCCACACATATAGCCTTCGGCCTGCAGCAGTGCGTTCCCTTGCTTGTTACAAAGGTCAGAAAGATGGGGGATGTTGAATTGACAGCTTCACAGATACAAAAAATAATAAATTGTCTGTCACTGTTCTTTCTTTAAGTGTGGCCTAAAGTCGTGTCTCACTTAGGTTTTCATAACTCTGCAGTCACACTGTGATTTTCAAAGTTGCAAAGACTCTATCACTTCCTGGCCTTCAAAATATATCTATTTTAACTTAGTATCAAACTACAGGAATCTTCTAAGTTAATATGTTTCTATTTACATGTTAATGCCTTTTTATGAAATTAGGGATAGGTAGTGGACATTTAGGCTTTGTCACTACTTTAGGTTAAGATTCCTACAAGTTGTGGAAGTCTTAGTTAAAAAAAGAGAAGTTCTCATTTTCTATAGAACGTAAATGTTGTTAGAAGTTTTCAAAAACAAGTATCTGTTTGATGTAGCATGGTAGTTTTTAATTTGCTGATTAAAAAAGCTCATGCTTCTCTTTTGTCATCCCATTTGTATAGTTTAATGTGTGGGTTGGTAATTTTCTTGGGTATTAAAATATTTTATGAATTTATGCTTTAAAAATAGAAGACTTTGTTTAGTTGCATCTTGTCAAATTAGAGAGTATGAAATAATTACATTAAACACAATTAGCAAAACAACACACAGACTCTTCAAACCAAAGACAAGCCACACAGCATGGAATTTAGTGTTTATCCTTTTGTTTATTTGTTTCTTTCAAATAATGCAAGGCCGTTATATCCTTACAGTTCACATTTCTGAGGAGATTTATTTTGCTTTTGTTCACCAAGGTCAACAAAGAAGGAAAAGCGACGCTTCTTAATGCCCTCCGTAACTGTTTAGAAGGCAAAACCGAAAATGACCACTGAAATAATTAAATTGCCATAAAGAACAAATATTGCTAAGTCGTTCCCAGTGAGACAAGGCAACCTGTATTGTTAGCGGTTTCTGAAACTCTTCCGAGGCCCAGGCCTGGAAGCTGCGGGGTAACTAGGAACATATTACCCACAGCGAATTGTTATTTGGGAGGATGAATGTCACATGATCCTCAGCACAGTTGAAAAGTCGACTCAGCAGGCTTTGGCTTAGTAATGTGCTTTGTTGTGAACCAGTGCCAGAGACAGCAGTGGGGAGACCAAGGGGGTGGCTGAAAAGAAAGCAAAAAGAGCAGTCTGACAGAAAGAAGAATGAACTGTCAAAGAAAATAAATCACAAGCGGAGCAGGACCAACTGATGACCTGCCACAAGCCTTCCCAGTAGGGCTGCATGTGACCGACCCTGAGGTTGTCATATGGAGGGAGGGACCGGCAAATACCCTCATGATGTATAGAACGAACAGTCTTCTGCTCTGTCCTTTTTTTTTTCTGTCCTTATAGATGCCACTGCTTTTGGCATGTTGGCCCGGTAGGATTTTAAGAATAAAGTTGTATTTGTTTACAGTAAGCATGAAATCCTTTATCCAGCCATCGAGTAGACGCATAATAACATCACTGACATTTTAAGCTTGGATGCTTTCTTTTCTTTGCAGCCACGTGAGCTCGTGACAGAAATGACATAGTTAACCAAAAGAAAGAATTTTTTAAGACCCTTAATCACCATTGGAACATTGGTATTTAAGGAACTACATAAAACACACTTAAAGATTAGCTTTTTTGAGTTACCCATCGTTGAAAAATAGGAAAAAAGTAACTTCTGTTTTCTTTCATCAGCTCAACAGCGTGAATGATGCTAAGGAAAAAGCAGCGAATGAACTCAGTTCTACCCAACAGAAGATAGAATCTCACACTAAAAATATTAAGGTAGTAGGACTTAGAATGGCTTTTTCTTTTCGTACTAAGAAACCCAAATGATTACCGAGGGACTATTTTAAAGTAGAACTACCTGACAATGTATCTTCCTATTTTTTATTAAGTACATTTGGATACACATATGAATTTTTATTGTTGATCAAAGAAAAAAGAGTGTTGTTTTCATTAAAAAAATAAAACTTGGTTGCAAATTATGTTGGTTAAAGGAAAAATGCATTTCCTAGATTTAATTATGATACCACAGATTGAGAAAATGATTTGAGATTTAATGCCCAGCCTTAGATATGTATTCAACATCTTTTACGTAAGTGCATCAGTATTTGGAGTCAGCTTTCCTCATGGTAGCGTGGAGCCATTGTTTTCAGTGCATTAGGCCTCGTAACGGGCCGGAGCCACACTTGTCTACGGTGCAGGACAACAGTTTATTTTCTTTTCTGCACTGGTTTTATGTATTACATCTTTGCAAAATTATACTGAGGCACGTCTGGGAGTTGGAATGTCTTTGTGTTGCTTAATGCTGAGTTTGTCATGGACGTACTTCAGGAGAATTTGTTAATAAGGTTGAAGAAGAAATAGTTCAGAAGCTTATGTCCCACATATGACATTTCTATTAGTGTTTGGATGTCACTGGGAAATAACTGTTCTCATACAGAATGTAAAAGATTTCATTTAAAAATGTTATTTACATGTTCTTAAAATTATTTTGAGCTACCGAGTTATTTATTTATTTTTTTAAATAATGGATTGAAAGCAAAAGTCCTTTTCAAAGAGCTTTTTGGAATTAGCTATCTTGGGAATATTTTATGTTGATGTATTAAAACTTAACAGTTTTTTCTAACTTTTGAGTACAATAGTATACTTAGAAAATATATTCAATCCAGTACCTTAAAATACCTAAATATGTTTTGCACTGTAGTCAGATGCTTGCCTTTGTGATTCTTTCGTGGTAAAGCTTAGGAAGTCTTCATTAAACGTATTTTATATTTGCATCCTCGGCCCCTTTACTGGCCGGCTTTCACACAGTGCCTTTATTTTGTATCTGACAGGACCTTCAGGACAAACTGGCTGATGTCAGTAAAGAGTTAAGTCATTTACGCACTAAATGTGCAGACAGAGAGGCTCTCATAAGCACTCTGAAAGCGGAACTACAAAATGTGCTGCACCGTTGGGAGAAAGAAAAGGCTCGCGCGGCCCAGTCGGAGAGTGAACTCCAGAAGCTTTCCCAGGCTTTCCAGAAGGATGCCGAGGTATCACCTGACACAGGATGCCTGGCAGGAAAGGCCTTTGCTAATCTCAGTTTTATAAATTTACATACATCACGTGGCTATTTTTACTCTGATTTGATTTAATTCAAAAAACTGTCCAGAGCCAACTGTCTTGAAATACTCACGCCAGCCACAAAATCGGTCACTCCTTCGCTATGGGGTCATCCTCTTTTGGAGAGTTTAATGGAGTTTACCCCTTTGTCACTCATGAGGCTTTTCCTCTCTATTTAGAACATCACACCCCCAGCATGTATGTTCCTGACGATCCTTTCAAAGTTTGCCCGTGTGCCAGTGACAAAACTATTTTGTATTTCAGTAGTTTAGTAGCTGAACATGGTGAGAAGAATGTGTTTTTTCGTGATCAGAGAGAACAGGACTTGGTTAGTGGTACTTCTGTTTGCAAAATGTGAATATGGACAAGCCACACAGCTTAGTCTCTCCTCATCTTACTTTCCTTATGTGCAAAACAGAAGGAATATCTGCTTTAATAGATAGTCTCCTTACTGTTTATAATTACAGGGTATTAACCAAAATTTAGAGAACTAGAAGTCTCCCACAGTATGAAACCTTTATTTGGAAGCCCTTGAGAGTTGCCTATGCATTTTTATTTATTAATGAATTCTTAAAGTATTATGACAAAACTTTTATATTCTGTGTGAGTCTGAGTGAATGGAATTGTTATCTTATATATTCTTTTACCCATGGGCTATAGAGCTAGGTTAGCTAGTGTGGAGCTGGTTTATCTGAGTCGTCCTGCATATTGAGTTCATTACTCCAACAAATATGAACATGAATGCCAAGAGAGTAAAAAGGAAACATTCTTTCCACTCTTCTTACAGTCTGGGATTTAAATTGTGTCCACATGAAGGGGCTGGAATTGTTCTACACATCAGATAATGATTAAAGTAAAGGAAACTAGAAGCCTGACTGTATTGTAAAGTCAGCATGTCTACAGCATTGTGGTTGGGTTCAACATGTGTGAATTGATTTTGGATCTTGAGATTCTCTTTTCACGCCAAATGGATGATTATCATGCATGGTTTGTCACAGCCCAAGCAAAAAGGACATAATGGCGACACAATGAATTATCCTTTAGGGTGAACTTGATCACTTGGCAAAATGTGGAGGGTGAAGACCTTTAGTGCCTGAATATTACATTTGGCTAGTTAGATTTAATAAGATTTTTAAATATCTCAACCCAGTTGAAAATGCAAAAGACATCTTTAATTGCTTAAAAAAGAAAAAGGCATAACATATTTATGAAGATTCTTCTGATATCCTAACTCAAGTTAGGGGCTGTAACTACATATTAAAATTTTGGGGTTTTAAATTCTTATATTTGGAAAAAGGTAAGGTGGCATGTAGAGACAATTAAAGGTACACATTTTGATATATACAGAAAAACTTTCCCCACAATTTATAAATACAAACCCTTTACATATGTGAGATACAGTTTTTCTTGTCTAGAAGATTAGCATTTATATTCTCCCCCCTCCCCCAAACTTCCTCCTTTTAAAAGTTTTCTTGCTGGTCTATTAAAAAAATCTTGAAGGAACCTATTACTTACATAAAATATCCTTTTGCAGCTTTACAATCGCCTTATCTTGAGTTCCACTCTTGGGCACTTTATGGATGAAACACCTTATAAAGAGAGCCATTTGGCACTTTAGTAAACAAACTCTTTTTGTGTGTTCAAGATGGGATCAGCTTTTTACTGAATTCTACAGCATAGTGTTTCTAGGTCGTTAAACAATGGATGATTTAGTTACTACGATGGCAGTATAATTCTAAAGAATTTTTTATTGTATATTTCTAATTGGACAGTTTTGAAAATATGTCTTGGGCAGCGATGTCCACTTCTTTTTGCCTGTTACTTTGTAATGTTTAAACGCCTATACATGCTCAATGTACCAAATACTATATGAACTTACAAGAGAAAACAGATGAACCCCTCTTCCATATCTTTCATATCACTGTCTGCTTTGCCTAAGGGGCTTGGGATAGATTTCCTATAAGAGGTAAGCAAACTGGAATCTCTGGAGGAAGAAGAAAGCTGAGTAATTGTGTCCATGTAAAAGCACAGATATTGTATAACTTTGTCTTCAATGGAACTGAGTAACACTCCTCGCTATATTGGTTTTTGGACACAAATAACATCTGTTTTGGCAGATGTAGATATGAAAGTATAGGATGACTATACCGACATCTAGTTAAACGGGCTTAGAAACAATTAGTACAGATCTGTCATGTGTCTGAGAAAGGTGATGGCCGAACAGGCACTTAGATGACATCCTCAGTAGTAGCAGAACTGGAATCAGAACCCTGGTCTTTGGGCTTCTAGACTTCATATTTTTGGTTTTGAATACCAAGCTTAAGCCACCTCCAAGTTTTTATCTGCTGCTTAGTTTTGAATGTGGAAAAGGACTAGGAATGACAATATTCTGAGACTTGAGCATTTTAATTCCTTTTCAAGTTTTTGAAACAAATTCTTCCCCATACATAGTGTGTGTTTTACTTCTTACAGTGTTGATATACTGGAATTAATTTTTTTTTTCCCTCACAGGAGAAGCTAACCTTTCTTCATACCTTGTATCAGCACTTGATCGCGGGCTATGCGCTCATAAAACAACCAGAAGGCATGCTGGATAAATTCTCGTGGTCCGAGCTCTGCGCAGTCTTGCAGGAGAATGTTGATGCCCTGATCTCAGACCTCACCAGGGCTAATGAGAAGGTAACTGTCCTCAGGCACCAGATACCTCTATTAAATTCAGTGACATTTGTCCACATCACAGTATCATTAAGAGGGGCTGACATTCATCTTATTTCAAAAAGAATTTGGATGTTAATAATTCAATACCATTAATTATGGCTTGTCTACAACTCAGTTTGATGCCATTGCTGTGGGCATGTAAATGTGACTGAAGTCTGTATGAAGTCTCTAAGCTCCACACTCTTGTGCAGGACATGCTAATACTACTAGCCAGTATTAGCCACAGGGACCTAATTAAAAGAAAATAAATTAATCTTACTGATGAAGCAATTCAAAGAACTTAGTCATTTACATGAATAAACCAACTCTTTATGTTAGCATAAAATAGAAACAAGATAAAGTTATTCAAAAACATGATCTTAAAATTTTAGTTCAGGAAATAATGAAGTGTTACTTTAAAAGCACTTAAACATTGAAAATAATGTTTATGATATTGCTTGAATTATAATAAGCTGTGTATTACAAAACCCTTTCTGTGCTGTAGAATGCAAGAAGTATACATGGTAGGAAAAAACAGTAGACTCTTAGGATCGCTTTACCATTCCCGAGCCCAGGAATTCAGTCTTTCAGAAAATTTTTAAAAAGCCCTCTTTTGGTGATGGAAAATTAAAGTGGCTTAGCAGACCAACATGTTCTACCATTAAAGATATCAGTTCTTATCTTGGGTCTGTTGAACTGGTCAGAACTATATTATGTGGTCTGGTTTCCAGATCTTAGTTGAAATGGCATTTACTCTTAAGGAAAGTGAAGAGAAAAACTGTTACCTAAGTGTTTTTGTTTTTAATTCTAATCTGTTGAACTAATGAAATGGCATCTTGGCCTAATTTTAGAGTGAGGGCATTTTACCTTGGTTCGATTGGCAAATACAACCATGGGCACTGAGAAGTAGGATTGAGGAAATGAGGGAATAAATTGTGAGAAGCACAGATGCTGTTCATGATTGTGAATGTGTGTATAATGGGTTTGAAAATTACCGATAATTAAAATGAGTACATGTTTGAACCCTCTGAGATGGTATTATGTTTTAATAGTTTTTCATAGTTTAAAAACATCATTAATTGTCATACACGTTCGATGATTTTCTTTCCAGTGTTTTGAACGTGAAATAAAAAAATGGTTGGGCCATTCTGTTTTATTATACGTAAAATGTTTGTAGGTTTGTAAATCTCATTGAAATACTTTGTTTTCCATTGAAGAACTTTGGTTCTAGAAATAAGAATAGTCTTTGTAATTTTCTCAGTAAAGTTGATTTTAGAGTAACTTTATTAGAGAAAAATGATTTGTTATCTCAGCATATGTACATAAAATGATACCATTTTCTCCTAAAATATGATAATTTGCCCTACTGATCTCTGTTTCTTAATTTTTTGGTTTTCACTTTAACTTAAAATTTTTATGTGAGCTTAGTAAATCATAGGTGAAAATTGTAGCTGGTTTTGGGGGAGATGATGCAAAGAAATGTTTTGTGAGCCTATCATATTGTCTATTGCATTTCCCATTTAGATAAGTCATCTGGAGTATATCTGTAAAAACAAGTCTGATACAATGAGGGAGCTTCAGCAGACCCAGGAAGACACTTTCAACAAAGTGGCAGAGCAGATCAAAGCCCAAGAGAGCTGCTGGCACAAACAAAAGAAGGAACTGGAATTGCAGTACTCGGAGCTCCTCTCGGAGGTGCAGATGAGGGCACAGGTGAGCTTCTTCTGCAGAGAGCTTTAAAAAATGGGGTGCTCCAATCTTTTATTATTTTAGGTGTTTTCTTCTAGGACCAATGCCAAATCCGTTTAGAACTCTTTGAAAAGCACAGAGAACTTGTTAGGCACACAGACATATGATCACTCAAACACATGCACATACTCACAAATGGATGTGTATGCACACGTGTGTATGTGTGTCTGCATACATATCATGGATTGTCTTATACTGAAGTTGGGAAGTAGGTTTCTGGTTAAAGGATTGTAGGACGCACTGATCAAGTAAACAATAACACTGTATTTCCTTTATCTATTTTTTAAATAAAAGGTGAAGAGATTCAGTAAAATGTTGTCAGTTTTAGTCTAGATAAACCTTCTGCCTGGTTTAGTTCTTTTGTGGGGGTTCCTATATGAACCATCATTTTCCTTTGGGGTTGAAATTCCTAATATTGTATGAGAACTAGAGTTATAGTTGTAGACCCTACAGCAAAACCATTGACTCTTGGATGAAATATGTCTTCTATGTTGGATTCGATTGAGAACAGAGGTTATGGGTAGTTAACATAGCCATATTTCTCCCTATATAAATTATTCTCATCATAATTTATATTGTTAACTGTCATCCCTGCCCAATCAGGAATAACATAATGATGATAGTGTATACTTTTCTTTTTTTGGTATTGACTTTAATAATAGTTCATGTGTTCCCAAGATAAGATACTTAGGAACCCGATTCAGTGTTTAGCCTCTTTATTTGGTCCATACTTATATTGGTTCATACTACTTATATTGGCAAGTTTAATTAAAAATATTATTTTTATTTGTCAATAAATAGTTTCAGATTACTTAAAATAAGACCATTCTGCTATCCCAAACAAAAGGGCCCTGTGTGAACTTATGCCTTCTCCTGTGAATTTGAGTGAATTATACACTCTCTAAAAGTAGCCATTTGTTCAGTGTTGCAGGGTGCCATGTGATATGATCTGCATTTCGAGGTGCCTGAGTGGCTCAGTTGGTTGAGCCTCTGACTTGCTTTTGGCTCAGGTCATGATCTCATGATTTGTGAGATGGAGCCCTGCCTTGGGCTCCCTGCTGACAGGCAGAACCTACCTGGGATTTGATCTCTCCCCCTCTCTGTGCCCCTCCCTGCATGTGCTCTTTCTCTAAATAAATTGAAAACAAATAAACAAAAACTTAAAATATTTTATTACCCCCGAAAGTTCTTTTGTGCCCTCTTTCAGTTTCCACTCCATGGACTACCGTTGTTCTGATCCTATCATTGTAGATTACTTTCACATGCCCTTGAGTTTCCTCTCAATGGAATCATTCAGTATGTAGTGTTTGGTGGTTGACTTATTTCACTCAAAATATTTTTTTGACAGTCATCCATGTTTTTGTGTTTGTTGGTAATTCATTCTTTTTTTTTTTTATGGTCAAGTAGTATTCTATGATTACACCACAATTTGACAGATTGTGAGTGGACGGATATTTGGGTTGTTTCCAGTTGGGGCTGCTGCAAATAAAATTGCAACAAATATTATTGTATAAGTATTTTGTTGACATATGTTTTCATTTCTCTTGGTTAAGAGTGAAATTGCTAGGTCATGGTGAAGGTGTATGTTTATAAAAATGCCTATCAACATTTTTTCCAAAACGGCTGTATCATTTTATATCTCCATGACCAATATATGAGAGTTTCCATTTTTCTACATCCTCTGCAATATTTGGTATTGTTAGCCTTTTAAATTTTAGCCATCCTAGTAGTTTTAAAAAGGTATTTCATTGTGGTTTTAATTCATGTTTTCTTGGTGATTAATTATGTTCAGCACTTTTCATGTTCTTATTGGCCATTCATATATCTTGTTTTGTGAGGGGTCTCTTTGAATGTTTGCCCATTAAAAAATTGGGATTCTTTGTGTTTTTATTATTGACTTGTAAGAGTTCTTTAGATATTCTGGATATAAATCCTTTGTTATATATATGTATCACAGATATTACCTTCCAGTATCTCACTTACCTTTTCATGTTTTGATGTATCTTTTGATGATCCCAAGTTTTAACATTTTGATGAAGTCCAACCTTACAAATCTTTTTCTCTTTTGAGTATTTATTTATTTTTTTTTTGTGGCAAGCAATGCTTCTATAATCCCCAAGGTAATAAGATAATCTCCTAGTGTTTCTTCTGGAAGTTTTAAAGTTTTAGCTTTTATGATTAGGTTTGTGATCCATCTCAAATTAATTTTTGTATATAATGTTAGGTAGAGGCTGAGGTTCATTTCCTCCTTATATTTATTGTATTCCCACACCATTGCTCATGACTTTACCTTCCTCATTGACAAGGCTTGATCCCTTTGTGAAAAAACTGACCATATATAAGAACCACAGATTTGTTGTGTATTCCCACAGTTTTGCCTCTTTCAGAATGTCATATAAATGGAATCATCCAGTATGTAGCCTTTTGGGTCTTTTTATTCACTTGGCAAAATATGTTTGGGAATTATTCATGTTGTTGCATGTGTCAGTAGTTCATTCCTTTTTACTACTGAGTAATATTCCACTGGGTGGATGTACCACTGTTTGTTTATACTTGCTGATGGGGATTTGGGTTGTTTTTGTTTTCTAACAATTATGACTAAAGAGGCTTTAAATATTCACGGATAGGTTGTTGTGTGATCATAAATTTTCATTTCTCTTGGGTAAATACTTGGAGGAGTGTGGTTTCTGGTTATTTGGTAAGCACATATTTATATGTTATATAAATGGTTTTATGGTAAGAAACTATGAAATTGTTTTCCCAAGTGGCTGTACCATTTTGAGTTCCCATTAGCAATGTAAGGGAGTTCTAACTGCTCTGTATCTGTGCCAGCATGTTGTTTCACAATTTTTTTTTTGCCTTTTTAAAGATATTCTAGTAGGTGTGTAGTGATTGTGGTTTTGATATCTGTTTTCCCTAATGAATAATAATGTTGAGTATTTTTTTTCATATGCTTATTTGCCATCTGTGTGTATTCATTGGTGAATTATCTGTTCACATCTTTTGCCCACTCTTTTTTAAGTTTATTTTGAGAGAGAGAGAGAGAGAGAGAGAACAAGCAGGGAAAAGGCAGGGAGAGAAAGGGAGAGAGAGAATCCCAAGCAGACTCTGAGCTGTCAGCACAGAGCCCAATGCGGGGCTGAATCACTTGAACCATGAGAGCATGACCTGAGCCAAAATCAAGAGTTGGACACTTAACCAACTGAGCCACCCAGGTGTCCCCCCTCCTTTTTTTGCCCATTTTTTAACTGGGTTGTTTTCTTGTCACTGAATTTTGAGAGTTTCTGTATTCTGAATAGAAACCTTTTGTCAGATAAGAGATTTGCAGATATTTTCTCCCATTTACATAAAGATCTTTTTTGCAGGGCAAATGTTTTAAATTTTTATAAAGTCCACCTTATCAAGTTTTTCTTTTATGGATTATGCCTTTAGTGTTGTATCTCAGAACTTTTTGCTTAGTGTAAGGTCATCAAGGTTTCCTCCTATGTTTTCTTCTATAGGTTTTGTAGTTTTAGGTTTTACAAATAGGTCTATGATTCATTCTCAGTTAATTTTTATAAAGATATGAGGTATGGGTTGATGTCCAATTTTTCATATGGATATTCAGTGAGTCCAGGACTATTTGTTGAAAGATTATCCTTTCTCTATTGAATTACTTTTATACTCTGTCAAAGTGAATTTCCTCTATGTGTGTAAATCTATTTCTATACTTTATCGACTATTCCATTTATTTATGTGCCTATTCATTTTTAATACTATATTGAGTTGACTTTTGTAGCTTTTCAGTAAGTCTTGAAATTAGGGAGTATGATTCTTCCAACTTTTGTTATTTCCTATCAGTTTTTTATTGGATAAATTTAACAGGTAACATTCTATAAATTTAAGGTGTATATTGTGTTACTTTGATACATTTATATATGTAATATAGTTGCCATTGTAGTGATATTTATCACATTACATAATTTCAATACAACATTATTATTATTATTGCTGTTCAACAAACTGTACATTTAGTCTCTATGGCTATTTTAGTACTCATTACAAGTTTATGCCCTTAAACAACACTTCTACTGTACTCCTCCATCCCCTGGTAACCACCATTTTCTTTTCTTATTTTTTTTTTATTTTTCATTTTTAGGATGTTTTGTCTTTTAAGATTCCATGTATAAGTGATACCATATAGTACTTCTCTTTGCCTGGCTTATCCCATTTAGCATAATGTGCTCAAGGTCCATCTGTGATCTTGCAAATGATTGGCTATCCTCCTTTCTCATGGCTAAATAATATTTTATTGTGCATATATAACATCTTTTTCTATCCATTCATCCATTAATGGGCATTTGGTTGCTTTTATATTGTGGCTATTGTCAATAATGTTGCAGTAAACATGGGGGTGTGTATATCTCATCAAATTCCTGTTTTCGTTTCCTTTGAGTATATTCCCAGAAATGGAGTTGCTGGAATGTATGGTAAGTGTATTTTCAAGTTTTTGAGTGACCTCCATATTGTTTTCCATAGTGGTTGGACTAATTTACATTCCCACATTCTCGCCAGCACCTGCTGTCTCTTGTCTTCTTGATGATAGCCATTCCAGCGAGTATGAGGTGATATCTCAGTGCGGTTTTTATTTGCATTTCCCTGATGATTTAGTGATGTTGAGCATCTGCTCGTATGCTTTTTGACTATTTTGATGTCCTCTTTGGAAAGATTTCTCTTTAGTTCTTCTGCCCGTTTAAAAAATGGGAGTGTTTATTAATTATTAACTTGTGTTAGTTCTTTATATACTTTGGATATTAACCCCTTATCTGATACATGGTTTACAATTTTTTTCCCCCATTTTGTAGGCTGCCTTTTCAATTTGTTAGTTTCTTTTGCTGTGCAGAAGCTTTTGAGTTTGATGTAGTCCTGTTTGTTGATTTTTGCTTTTGTTGTTTGTGCTTCAGGTACAAAACAATCATTGCTAA